TGGCAACCGAAGTTCCCGACCAAACATCAACTTTGCTGGAGTGTATCCAGTGGTTTCATGCTCTGCTGTCCTAAGTGAATTGGTGAACATCAAACAATTCATTAAGAGTAAGTTTTGATAACATCAACTTTTCACCTTAATAAGCTAAGTCACATAATAAACTATTGCGAGTTTGGCACCAAAAATAGTTTTAGTAAAACTAAATCAACTTTGGCCTACATTACAAACGATCATTTTATTGCCTTTTCAACCATGTGTTTGATGTAACTCTCATAGAATATCTTTGCTGCAATTTCTTTCTCTACGTAAAGTATTGCCAGACCAGAGAGTCTTTCTTGTGATATGCTGGACTATAAGCAGGTCTTTATAAATTCAATTTTAAGAATCTTCGCTCAGCGGCAGCAACTGTCACAGGAACTGTCAAAAATATATTGAGAGCTTTGAATGTGTTTGGATACAGGATTGCAGGCTTGTTTTCAAAAATGTATGACAGTGTTCTCAAAGCACCTAAGGTGTTTGGTAAAATGCAACTCAGGTTCTTTAATTCAAACTCTAATTCAACTGCATCAAGGTCAGTATTGTAACCAGTATTGTAAATCAACGCAATGTTTTCTAAGGTAACTCTGTTTCGATACGGGCAACGACTTTAATGTTGATCAAGAAGCCAAAAGTTTTACAGTATTCATTCGTTAGGCTGAAAAGTTCATTTAACTTCATTAATGCCGTGTCTATGGCTACTAAAAAAGTTTTTTTCTTTTAAGTGCTCCTAAGTATATACAGTGGGTTCATCAACACTATAGTAACTAACCATTCACTTTTTATTTAGTACGTGGTTGGAAATTCTGGTGTGACAGAGAATTTTCCTGCTAGCTTCTTTCCTTTGCATTTGTTTGCTTTCAATGTTAATGTCAAAGAGTACGTAATACCAGATGATAACAGAATCCAAGAATTTGAAGGACTGCAATTCCTCAGAAAGACTTCCTGAATTAGAATACACTTTTCTATTCTTGGTTGTCTCTCTCTTAGTTTGAACATAATTTCTACAGGCGGCTTTTCTTGGTATTGTATAGCCTTAATACTTCCAATTTTGCTTTTCACCAAGTATCCGACAAAGTTTTTAGAAAAATATCTACAAAAGACTTCAGAATCGCCCATCTGCTGGTAGAAACAGCAAAAATAGCATACAATCTTTGAAGAATTCCAAAAAAAGCCCCCGCTTCCCCAAGAAGACGACATGTAAGCATCACACAGTGCAAGATTCAAGGAGAGACAGCCACAAGGAACAGAAGAAACTCTGCTCTTCAACCATCGTTCTGGCCTTGCATATTTATCACATCTATAACCTACACAATCTGGAAAAAAAGGAATGTTGCGCTCTTGTAAAAACAGCAAATTAGTTTTAGCTAGGTATTCTCCGGTGACTTCACAAGCAATAAAAAATTCCATAGAGTGTTCACGTACAGACACACAACTACCACCCACACCTGATGATGATAGACAGTTGCTCTTGATGACAATCGAGAATAATGGTGTAGTACTTGTGTCGTTTTATGTTTGCAACAATGCTGTCGGTTATGACTGCTCACATTTCGGGAATAACTCCATTTTGTACATTGTGACCGAGCTAGTGATGAGAGTTTTCTTTAGCTAGAAATCTTTGCACATGGTTATTCATGGTTGAGTCAGAGACACTGATCAAATGTTTTCTCTACATATCAAGTAGGGTTTGTGTAGTTTTATCTATTGTTTTGTCACACTGAAGACGTCGCTCTAGCTCAGTCCAGGGTGTCACACTTTTTTACGTGCTTTGCACTACATTCGTGTTCTTCTAAAGTTTTATGGACATATTTCCATGAAAGGAATCCAGATGTAACAAGCAGACTTTGCTGCTAGGATTTCGCAAAAACAGAAAACTGCATCACACTTTGTGAGTACAAGAGTCCAGAAAGGTGCATGCGCTCTTGTTGTTTTTTTTTTTTTCAAGTTCTGAAACAGTTGTCAGAGGTGAAATGCCACTTTTTAGCTTCATTCGTGGAAATGTCTTTGGTATTGTTCATGTGGACGAATTTTCACTAATAAAATAACATGCTATTTGGCTGAATTCGGAAGTTTAAATGAATTTTCCTTTATTTGCTATTGAAATTTGCGGGAAAGTTTCTTTACAACAATTTGCAAACTGTTGTCCTCATATGAAGCTGGATAAGTTTGTAAAGAACTGTTAGTGTCACCGTTATTTGATGTTGAGCTGTTGCTGTCTTCATAATCATTCCCAGAACTAGAAGGAAAGTTGAACATAGAACCAAATGTAGTTACAGTTACTTCTTCAGCTTCATCAAGAAGCAGTCCTAGCTAAGAAGAGAAAAATCTGGCCAGAGTTTGAGGTGCAAAAATTGAATTAATCTCTTTTAATTTCTTAATGTCTTGGCCCTTTCTTCTTTTATTCTT